GGGACCACAGGCGCCCGCCACAACGCCCGGCTATTTGCCGTCATTGTTGTTTGGCGGGTCCGGGCAGGGGATTCGAACCCGCCACCTTAGGTGTACGTGGCTGGCGCCTTAGCTGGTTGAGCCATAGGCGCCGAGCCTCTAAACCTGAATTTTTAAAATGAATGCCTTGGGTGACTATCACCATTGCCTTTCCAAACCTTTTTTTGAGAAACTGGTATAGGCAGCAAACTTATAGAACTGAGGGAGAAATCAAACCATCTCTCTACTCCTATTGTCCATGATTGTAACAACCTTGTAAATTTAAGCAAAAGAAAACCATGAGCTTTCAGTTTGAAACATCAACACAGTCTCAACACAAAAGGTAGTCAATAAATACATGTTTATTGATTAAACTGAATTATAAAAAACAACAACAAAAAAAACCCTTCCTTCTACTACTAAGCCATGCAGGCAGAGTCCACAAAGACAACTCCCTGGCCAAACCCAGCTGATGCACTGTTGGTATTAATGACCTTAAGAAAAATCACCCATCAGAAAGTCCAATAGTGTGCAGAGGTCAGGAACCCAGCTAGCTGTGCTAAGGCTGTGGCTGCTGCAAAGATCACCAGAGAGTAGGATTAGGTTGTCTAGACAGGAGTGACCAATCATATAGTTTTTGAACTTTCTCAAAGGCAAAATGAGTTGATTTCAAAGTCCATAGTCTGTAAATAAAATGGCATCAAGCAAAAATCTGGAAAGAGAAAACAAGAGATGGAGCCTTATTTTGCTTTCAGACGCCATGGATTCACAAGGCTGGCCAAGCTGTTTCTGGGAGGGGTCGCTCCAGTTCACTATATTATAGTGTGCTGGAGGTTAAAAATGAAAACAAAAAAATGGGTTGGGTGGGAACAAAACGGTGGTAACAAATATCACACCTGTATCACCAGGCCCTTCACATCTTGAACATTTCCCAGTCTGTGAAAGCCCCCTAAACAGTCAGCTAGAAAAAAACAAGTTTATAAATCCATTTCCCCTCATTTTATTAAATGTTCCACTTATGTACATTTTTTACGATGAACCATTTACAAGCTTGTGCAGGCTGCCTCCTTCGCTCACAGGAGGTAAACGTTGCCAAAGTCTCAGGATGGACAAAAGGGTGGTGTAGCTGAGAGAAAAGTGAACTTGGTTTTTTGCTCCTTTTCTCTGTACGGTACATTTTGGTTTATGACCATGAGTACGTACAATTTTAAAAAGTTCCTCATGCAAGTTGTAGAAAAAAATTTTCTTTCCTTGAAGCTGGCAGTGAAAAATAAAGATTCTTCTTGTCTTCGTGCACATCCCTGTGCATTTCTTCGTGTCAAGATTGTTCTCTAAGCATTAAGAGAAATAGGGCACAGCCACAGGATAAGCTGGATTCAAAGTATTCTTTCTTTTTCAACACTTAACTTCTTGCACAATCAGCTCCAGCTCCTGGCTGTCCGACCTGCAATCTCTTGAAGGCATGCTCTCCACTTAACAGGGTGAAGTTCAGTAAAGGAGGGATTACCTCTGGGGGATTGCAGGATGAAGACTCAACCTGGGAACGGCTTCCACCCTAACACACTGACCCCTCAGTACCTCTGGCTTGCTAGTGATGGACGGTGTGAGAATGCAGAAAGGGGCCAAGTATAGTATCGCAAGTGCGACAAACCTTGTTTCTGTTATGTTTTTGTTGGAGTGAGGGTGGTAAGGAAAAGACAAATCTATTCATTATCTGGATGATTAAAGGTGGTTTCATGCATTTTAAAGCCACAATTTAATATTTAGAGTTGCTGTAGAAACCAACATCTCTGGAGAGGGAAGGAAAGAAAAGGAGAAGAGAGAGTTCAGTGGGATTTTTTTTTCCATTTTCATTTTTATATAAAAGTGTTAAGACCACAATGAAAAAAGTTTTTTATCCATATATATGTAAGAAACCAGTTTGTGAGCTACATATTTTTGTCTTTCCCATCTTCAGAAATGTTCTCACATTGACAATGGTTATATAGCATCATGCCCAAAGACATTGGCCACACAGTAAAACAAATAAAAAACCCAGAAGTACTATGATACAATTGAGGTAAATGGGGAAACAAAAAAATTTAACATTCGCCCACAAATAATTTTTTTTTCTTTTTCTTGATTTTGTCAGAAAAATACCAAACACAGTGATTTAAATTTTAAAAAATGTCACAAAAACCTGTTCTTAGCAGAAGTGAATGACCAATGAGCCAGCTCCTGGGCTCAGACGTGATCACTATTGGTTTTCCTAATTAATCCACAAATCCACAGGGAAGTGTAAGTCATTGGGGGGAGTGGTGGCGTAAAATTAAGAAATATAAACCAAATGCCCCACCTGGTATACCCCCTTTTCCCTAAATCCCTCTACCCTCCCTCACACCTTCCCACCCCCACTACACACCCCCTGCTGACCCCAACACTCAAATCTCCATCAGATCTAGGTCAGCTTCTTCAAAGCCATAGAAAGACTCCGTCTCACTTTCACCCTCAAAGAGCTGGTGAAGGCTTTCAGACTCAACTGTCTCTTCAGGAGAGGACCTGGGCCGAGGAGTGGAGGCTGAAGGCTCCTCAGACTGTTCGCCACTCAGCTTTAGCTGCTCTTCCAGGGAGGCAATCAGCTCCTCCTGCATGTCAGCATTTCTTGTGGGTGAGTTAATGTTGCCATCAGGGCCAGGCAGAACACTAGCCACCAGGAAGGACCGCTGAACCAGCTCTGGACAGTCCCCGATGACACCCAGCACCTCGCCTAGCCAGACCAGCACCAGCTGGAGAAGAACATCAGAGTCACACGCAGTGTCTGCCATTTCCCGAGCCTGCTCCTTCCACTTTTTGTGCAGGAAGTTCTTCACAGTTCGTTTGATGCACACGTCTAATGGCTGGATTTTGGAGCTACAGCCTGCTGGGACTACTGCGGGCAAAGTGCTGGAGGCACTGAGCATAGTCAGTACCTCTTCTGACAAGTGGGTACGGTGGCAGTCCATCACCAGCATGCCTTTGCTACGTTGGCAAGCTGTGTGCTTCTGCCACACACGAGTTGACCACAGCTCCATGATCTCATCGTCGCTATAGCCGCTCTCCTTTGCCTCCAGCAATATGGAGTCTGGCACATTAGCAGGCTGATCCATTTGTCCTCGGTAGAAAACCAGGGTAGGAAGGATGGTGCCATCTGCCAGAATGGCTAGCACTACATCACACCAAGGCTCCCCTGTGCCCACTGTCTGCAGGGCATTCTCCTTTCGGTCATCACTGCTCAGCACCTCTGTGTCCAGGAATAAGGACATCTCATCAACAGCCACAATCATGGACAAGGGTAAGTCCTGGTTGTGAATCTGCCGCTGTACAAATTCGATGAAGAGTTCTGCATTCTCTGCCACATCCTTTGGCAGGGTGTGGGCCACAGCTCGCCGAGCATTGGGGGTCAGGTGGTGCCGCAGCATGAAACGCACAGCCCACTCATAGGAGATCTTAAACCCACCCTCCAAAGAACGACCTATTTTGGTGGCCTTCTGGAACAAGGTCTCCTCATTTACAGGTAGCTGCTGCTCTCGCTGGGTCAGCACCCACTCAGCCAGTTTCTCTTCTGCCTCAAAACTCAGGTATTTGCCCTCTAGATTCTCCCCCTGGGAGGCCTGGAAGCGTCGAAGCCAACGCCGAATACGTCGCTGGGGGTTTCGGAAGTGTTCAGCTGCCTGTTCGGTGTTGCAGCACAGGGCAAACAGTACTACTCGAAGCTTCTTCACAGACAGTTGTTCCTTCTTGCCAACCCCACCGCTACCACTGAGACCTGCTGCTGGCTCAGGTTCCTGGGTAACTGGGCTCTCTTCATCCTGATCATCAACATTCAGACATTCAGCCCCCTCTGTAGGGGGTGGGAGGGCTAAAGGTTGTGGGTGAGTGGGGGTCGGTGGTGGGGTTGCAGTTGAGGCTGGTGAGGGGAGTGCCTGGGCCACAAGAGTTGGTGGCTCTTCAGGCTCAGCTGGGGTGGGCCCTGCAGATTTCACAGTGGCAGCTTTGTTAGGGGGAAAGGATGGAGGAGAGTACATATTCTTCAAGTTCCGATCATGTATTCGGTCACGAGCCTGGCCATGCCTAAAGGGGTGGGGTGTGGAGCAAAGAAGGGAAGGAAAGCTCAGGTAAACTAAGAAATTGAAAGAATATAATAGTAATAACAACAACAAAGAGCAAACACACTATAAAATAGAAATTAGACCATGAAGTGAGAGTTTTTGTTACCTTGAGTGAGATATCCAGGTGAGTCCTATGGAAAATAGAACAATAAAAAAATGTTAACTCAGGGAAGAAACAAGCCCTTCAAAGACAGTGTCCTGGAATTGTAACCAATTATACACAAACAGACTCTTCACAGTGATCTACCTTCCCAGTCTCATAGAAACTTCAGGTTAGAATGTTTCTAGTTTGCTACAGTGAATAAATGGGTGAGGCCAGATAGGGATGCTCCTGACTCATATAGTAGACCCTCTATCTTTCCCCCCCCTTGTTTAACTCCCATCTTGCCTACTCACCCCGTGGCAGGACGCTGCTGGATCTGTGGGAAGGATTGAATACCAAATGCTTGGCCATGGCATCTCCCACAGAGGTAACAAAGGTACATGAAGTGCAGACCAGCTTGGTTCCACTAAGAAAGAAAATCCAGAGTACATGTAAGACAAATACAACAGTGACATTTCAGAGAGTTAAGCTTTGAGGCTTAACAGAAAAGTACCTCTTCTTTCTCCTCTTTCTCCAATTAGTTCACATATCCACGCCCCCTCAAATAATTACAAGGATTTAAAGTAAAACCTTGAAAAATTAAGAGACTAGCAATGAATTTTTTTCTTACCTCACAGAATTTTTAAACAAGGCCAAATACTTGGGGCTCTTCCGTGGAACATGATTGCTGAGAAAGACAAGGGAAGTGGCATGAGCGGCTAGAGATCAATGACAATGACCTGATAAGAGAAACGCCTCTTCAGTGCATCCTAATCTCAACCCAAGCCCGTTTCCCTATCACTATGCTGCTTAAATCTTAATATGAATCACCTAAAGATCTATTAAAGTTCAGTTCTGATTCAGGAAGTCTGGGGTGGGGCTGCAAGTCTACATTTCTAACAAGCTCTCATCAAATGCTGCTGATCCTTGAGCAGCAAGGTCCTTCAAAACTAGAGCCTAGGCTATCAAAATCACATGAACAGGAATTGGGCCTCTTACCCTGCTAGGAGAGATGGACAAAAAGCTCTGAGAATTAAAGGAAACACACTAGAAGCCTACAGGGAAGGGAATGACATGAGTTCTTGAGCATCTAAACTTACTAGGAGAAAGATTAGTTTCATCACAACTCACTTGATCATGTGGTTGGCATAGGCTCGAGAGCAGCAGGTGCTATAGCGACACAGAGAGCAATGCACATAGGTAGGGAAGTGATTAGGAAAGTCTGGGATCTCAAAGCTGCACTCCAGACATGTCTGCTGGCCCATGACACTCCTGTCAAAAAAGAAAACGAAATTCTCATTACTGCTGCAGGGGTTCCCATATTGTATAATTTTAGACAATAGATCCTGCTAAAAGGCTACCAGATGGCATTGGCTATTAGAAATAATCCTGCCCCCCCAGCCACCACCTGCCCAGCACTTAAGAGAAGGCGCTGACATTTTCCTAACAGCTCTCTTCTGGATGTTGCGTTGGACAGGGGGATACAGGAAGACAGGCAAAGGGTCTGTTGAGGAGGTCAATGGTGCTGCCTCCTGTGAGGCGCTGGGAGGTGTATCACTGGAGGACACAGGAACAGTTCGTGGCTGCCCTCGGGAAGCCCGGATTGTCACCTGAGTGTTGAGAGAAAGAACAGTGACATTACTCACAATGAACCTCAGAACACTGGAAATCCCCATTTGTCCTCTCCCAGGGTCTATAAAAGAAACTCTGGCAAACTTTATTGACCTTAGTGCCTGGTTTCAAGCCTTCTAGCTGCTTGGGTTTACGGAAGGTTTTATGGTGTTGAAGCTTGTGTTCAATTTTGTCCTTGGCAAAGAGAAATTGTAGCCGGCATTTGTTGCAGTGATAAACATTTCTCTTCTGAAGGAGGCAAAAAAGAAAGAAAGAAAACAAAGAGACAAAATCCCTTAAAAGTTCTCGATGAATTTTTTTCTTTAAGGAGATGATACATCAATGTCAACTATTATCATTCTTCCCACCCTTCTGTTGGTAACAGTAAGAAAAAAACACACAACACAACCACAAACCCATCAATGAGATCTGTCATTTCCCATGGTCCCAAATTACAGTGAATTCCAGGCGAAGGTAACTATGCCCTCAACCGACTTGCTGTAACAACTTAGATGAATGACCTAAGCTTTACTGCTCCTGCTGTATCTTCACACACTGCAGACCGTGCTACCTACTCACAGACATTTTTTTTTTTAAGGCAATATGCATGGTAAAAAAAAAATTCTTACTTTTTTCATTCTGCACTCTTTCATATAAGTGTGCCTGCAACTCTGACCCACAGTTCCTTTCAACAGAAACAACTTGTTGCCAGTTTCCTGAGCACTCTTTGGTGGATAGTCTACTATACATATGTGTAATTATAAAAAACATATATTATCTATGCATTACCTTCCTGTTTTCCTTTTTCTTTTAACATAAATGACAGCACTTGCCCATAGTGTGCTGTTGTTGTTTCATTTACTGCATCAATATAAACAGAGGCATCTCCTTGTGAGATCATTTTGGGAGTTCAGTCTGCCTCGTACTACAGCACCTGTTTCTATTTTCCGTACTAGGATAGCAAAGCTTCCTAAGCTAAGTGGCTAAGTGGCAATTTTCACAGTCCTATTTAGAAACACATTTATGGTAGATTACCAGCAGTCTCTATTGGGCAAAGGAGAGGACAGTGTAAGGGGTGTGTGTATCTGTGTGTGTGTGCCCAGTTTGCTCTCCATTTTGTATCCTCACTTACATACCTTCACCCTCATCCAGAGCATCTCTTGTTAGAGCATTTTAAAACAATATCATATCTCTATCTAGGTATCTATATGTATAAATAAATTATAATATGCCAGGTGCAGTGGCTCATGCCTGTAATCCTAGGTGGACTGCCCAAGCTCACAGGTTCCAGACTGGCCTGAACAAGAGAAAGACCTGTCTCTAAAAATAGCTGGGCGTTGTGGCAGGCACCTATAGTCCCAGCTACTTGGGAGGCTGGAGCAAAGAGAATTGCTTGAGCCCAAGAGTTTGAAGTTGCTGTGAACTGTGATGCCAGAGCACTCTCCTGAGGGCAACAAGTGAGACTCTGTCTCAAAAAATAAAAAATAAAATAAAATGCAACAAAAGCAACCAAAGTTATCCTTTGCTGATTCTATCTCCTTGGGTCCTCTCCTTCATCAGCACACTTCTTAACCTTTTGCAAATGACACCTATGGGCACATTTCTCTTCTGAGCACTCTGCAGTCAAAGGGTTAAAATAAGTTGTCTCCATTTTCTTGCCTCTCACACATTTGTTCTACTGGTATTTGACTTCTAGCCTAGTAAACATCAAAATGACTCCTTCAGTGCTGCTAGATTAAGATTTGCCTCTAAGTTTCTATCTTGCCTGACACCTTCCTGTAAACATATAACATTCTGATCACACCCTTACTTTTAAAACAGTTTCTTCTCCTCAGCTTCCCTGATGCCAAGACTATTCTGGTTTTCCTTCTAGGACCACAGTGCTCATTTTAAGGATAAAAACTACATCCAAATGGATAAAGGATCCTAAGCCTTAATCTCTTATTCTTGACAGGGTTGGGAGGCCTATGACTCTCAGATCATTTACTAGATTTATATAAAGATGATTAATAAATATCTTTTCTACAACCCAGACTTCTCTCCCAGGCTTCAGAGCTGTTATCCAACAACTACACTTGATGTCTACGATACTACTCACAATATTCAAACCTGTAATATTCTCCTCCTAAAATTTACTTTCTCTGGTGTTTCCATCCTAGTAAATAGTCCCATCATTCATCCAATTGCCCAGGACAGAATCTTAGGCATTATTCTTAACTATTGTCTTGCTACCCTGTCTAATCCATCCCTAAACCATGAATATCACTCTCATCTCAACTCCAATCTCTTTTTATTTATTTAAAAAGTCAGTAGGCAACTACCATCATCTCTCAGCTCAACTACTGAGAAGCTTTTTGGCTAGTCTTCCTAAGTCTTAATCTTCTTTAATCCTCAGTGAAGCTAGTGTAAAATAACTAAAAGGCTTAATCCTCCATTAATGGCTTCCCAGTGAACTCTTTTCATGGCTTACAAGATCTGTCTTCTCATTTCCCCTTTGTATCCTACACTCTGCACTTAACAGCTCTCGATTTCTGGAACCTTCATCCTTTTGCTCCAAGTGTGCTTGGGCATACTGGTCTCTCTCCTACTGCATCCAGCCCATTGTCATTCATCCTTCATCCTAAAAGTCTTACTAGGCACCCAAAATAGGTGTGTGTTTTCCTATAGTCTACATTTCTCCCTAACACAGTATTCTTCATACTTTGCTGTACTCTTTGGTCTGCTTGCCACTAAATTTCTAGCACCTAGTTTATTATAAGGAACATAAATGAAATTCAGTAAATTTTTGCAAATGCATGCATATATTTTACCTACCAAAATTATTTGTCTAGCTCAGCCCAGCATCCATAAGTTTAAAAAAGGGGGAATATAGGAATTGCTTGGTGCCTAGTACCTGGTGCCTCATGTAATGCTGTTGGAATGCATTGCCATTTTTGAAGACCTTCAGGCAATAAGGGCAGAGCAGATGCCGGGTATCCTCATGGATCATCCGAAAATGGACATCTACCTCAGAGTAGAGTGAAGAGCGATACTGACACACCTGTTACACAAGAGGGGAAAACAGGCTAAGAATGAAGTGGGCAGCTGAGCTTCACAAGAGGCAGCAACAACACCGGAAAATACGGGAAACATCCTACATGCACAGAAATCAAGTCATGTTTCTGATTTTATGATGCAGGGCTTCGTTTGTGGCAAATCTAGCTATTTAAGTCTGAGAACAATCCATATTCCATAACTAAGAGGAATAAAGTTTTTCTTTCCAGTTCCAATGATCAAGTTCAGGAGACAGACACTCCCTTATGCATATGCATGTTCCCTGGCTATTATACTTTTGGATATATTTCTGGCTGGGTTAAGTATTATACTTCAGAATATGTTCTTTTGTATTTTTCTCCTGCATGGAAAACCCTAAAGACAGCAACTGTGTTTATTCTCTCTTCTGTACCTTGTCAGATTTCCTAAACTGAGTGCAACCAATAGATATTTAGCAATATTCGTTAGTGGATTATTTGTACTCAGCCTGAGAGTAAATGGCTAAAACCTCCTGGACAAAAAGGCAATACCTGGCAAACATAAGGCATCTCTCCAGGTTTATGAGTATCCTTCATATGCTGGAGAAACAGTGGCTCACTTTCAAATGCCCACTCACAGATCTTGCACTTGGCTGTAAGAAGAAAAATAATCAATAAATCTACCTGAAAATAAGACCAAAGTCCTGCTGACTTTAATTTTCTATAACTTCTGTAATTCCATTTGTGTTGCTCAGAACAAATATTGTTACATGTCTAGCTTAGACTTCTTATCAAAGCTCCATTCTGGATTTTGAACTATCTACAAGACATTTTAAATCAGATATTCTATCAACTCTAACTTAATTCTGCATTCTCCTGCTTACCATTGTTCCTGTCTTACTTCCCCATATCTTCCTGAGCTCAAAACTTACACACTAGTCTCAGACTCTAACCCCTGTATTCTGCCACCATCATTTCAAAATGCCTCTAGAAACTCTTGCTTCTCTGTTCCAACAGGCAAAAACTTGGGAAGAAGCCCATACGACTTCCTATTGCTAATCAGCTGGCTTCCAGGACCTCCTTATCTCTCCAATAGCCTCACGTAGTACTATTCTTCATACACCATTGCCAAATGAATTCTAGTAAATACTATGTGACTTCATTCCTCTGCTCAAGGACAGACCATAATTATCTCCTAGAAATAATTCAACACACAGTTTTTACCTTACCTTAAGAATTATCATTTTTTAAAAATATTTTACTTTGAAATTGTCCATTTGTCAAGCTTCTGAGTCTACCATTCTAAATTTTTGGTAAAAATTTTAATTGCTATGTATTTCCAATTATATAGTATGGCCAAAAATAAGATAGTTATTTGTATTTACTTACGTTGGAGTTAGTTTCAAGTTTTTACAAATATGAAAACTGTAAACTTAAAGCTTTAAGCATTTATTGCACAATGTCCAATACGCCCCCCCACCCCCAAATGAATAAAGTTGGAATAATTCTTTAAAGTAAAATAAACAAACAAAAGGGGTTCTTAATTTAGGGTCCATGAACAGGCCTCAGAAAAACCAGATATCTCTTGAAAATTATTTACAAAAGAGTAAAATGTAAAAATCCTACAAAAAGTAAAAGTAAAATCCTCTAGGAGGATTCACATTTTGTGTTTCTTCTCAAAGGGGCCTGCAATCTCAATTAGAACCACTGCCAAAAGGCACATTAAATGTTACTAAGACATAGATAAATTCTGCCATTAGAAGACATATAAGGGCAGCACCTGTGGCTCAGTGAATAGGGCGCTGGCCCCATATACCGAGGGTGGCGGTTCAAACCCAGCCCTGGCCAAACTGTAACAAAAAATAGCTGGTGTGGCGGGTGTATGTAGTCCCAGCTACTCAGGAGGCTGAGGCAAGAGAATTGCGTAAGCCCAGCAGTTGGAAGGTTGCTGTGAGCTGTGATGCCACAGCACTCCACTGAGGGTGCTAAAGTGAGACTCTATCTCTAAAAAAAAAAAAAAAAAAAGAAATGTGAAAATATACTAGAAATTAGATGGTATTAAGGATTTCTGGTTAATTCTATTAGGTCTTAACAAAGGAACTGTGGCTATATACAGAAAAATATCCTTTCTTAGAGATACATAGTATTTAGGGGTGAAATACCATGATGTCTACAATTAAAAAACACTTCAGAAAAAGGAAAAAAAATTTCCACCATATTAAAAAGAAAGCAAAAGGGTGGTGCCTGTAGCTCAAGTGGCTAAGGCATCAACCACATATACCAGAGCTGGCGGGTTCGAATCTGGCCCAGGCCTGCCAAATGAAGACAACTACAACCAAAAAATAGCTGGGCGTTGTGATGGGTGCCTGTAGTCTCAGCTTCTTGGGAGGCTGTGGCAAAAGAATCACTTAAGCCCAAGAGTTGGAGGTTGCTATGAGCTGTGACGCCACAGCACTCTACCAAGGGCAACAGCTTGAGACTCTATCTCAAAAAAAAAAAAAAGTAAAAATAAGTAAAATAAAAGGAAAGCAAAAGACTGGCGCTCGTAGCTCAGTGGTTATGGGACTGGCTACACACACGCCGAGACTACAGGGTTTGAACCCTGCCTGATTCTGCAAAATAACTATGGAAAAAAAAAGGAAAATAGCTGGGTCTTGTGGCAGGCATCTGTAGTCCCAGCTACTTGGGAGGCTGAGACAAGAGAATCACTGAAGCCCAAGAGTTGGAAGTTGCTGTGAGCTGTAATGCCATGGCACTCTATGAAGGTGACATAGTGAGACTCTGTCTCAAAAAGAAAAAAAAAATTAAAAAGTAGAAAGCAACAGGTCCCAACATATTAACATTAAAAAATAAGTTCCTGTTGGAAAAAATACCTTCACTTCCATGTTTACTGCAACACTATTCACATCAGCCAAAATGGACTCAACTATCAATGGATAAAAGAACAAAATGTGGTACAGCTGGGCATAGTGGTGCAAGTAATCCCAGAGTTTTGAGAGGCCAAGGCAGGAGGAAGTGCTTGAGCCTAGGAGTTCAGGGTTACAATGAAATATGATAGTACTGGGTGACAAAATGAGATCCTGTCTCTAAAGGAAAAAGAGAAAAAAAAGTGGTATATATACACAATGAAATATTATTGAGTCATAAGAAAAGAATGGAATCCTATCACTTGCTGCAACATGGATAAGCTGGAGAAAGTTCCATCAAGTAAAACAAGACTAACACAGAAAGACTAACATCACATGTTCGCACTCATATGCGGGAACTAAAAAGTGGCTCTCATGAAGATAGAGAGTACACTACCAGAGGCCTGAAAGAATTAGGGGGAGGAAGAAATGAAGAGGAGCTGATTAATGGGTACAAATACAGGATTTGATAGAAGAAGTAAGTCCTAATGTTAGATCAGTAGGGTAACTATAGTTTACAATAATCTAATGTATTGTATCAAAATGGCTAGAAAAGAATAATCTGTATGTACCTAGTTCAAATACAAATATTTAAGGTGATGGATATCCTAAGTAAACTGATTTGCTTTTTACAAATTAAATAAATGTATTATCACATGTATCCTGAAACTATGTACATCTATTACACATCAATTAAAAAATAAGTTACTTTCTTCATCTTGAAGCATCTTGTCTGATAAAAAAATAAGCTACTGGGCGGTGCGAGGGTGATGAGTTCAAACCCAGCACCAGCCAAACTGCAACCAAAAAATGGCTGGGCGTGGTGACGGGTACCTGTAGTCCCAGCTACTCGGGAGGCTGAGGCAAGAGAATTGCCTAAGACCAAGAGCTGGAGGTTGTTGCTGTGAGCTGTGACACCACCACAGCACTCTACCAAGGGTGATAAAGTGAGACTCTGTCTCTAAAACAAACAAACAAACAAACAAAAAACTACTTTTATGCAGGATCTGTCAAGGGTGCAAAAAAGGCAGTTATGATGGAATCTTTTTTTTTTCTTTTTTTTTTTGAGATGGAGCCTCAAGCTATCCCCCTGGGTACAGTGCCATGGCATCACGCTCACAGCAACCTCCAACTCCTGGGCTCAAGCGAGTCTCCTGCCTCAGCCTCCCAAGTAGCTGGGACTACAGGCGCCC